CGCCCCGGGCCCCAAGGCCGAGGGCTGCTGCCGGGGCCTGCGGGCGGGGAGCGGCCCCGCGCGGATGCTACCCTGCAGCCTCTTCACGCCCAGCCTCCAGGGCTCCCGGGTACCACAGCCTGAATGGGAGGCCGATCGGGGATGGCCGGGGACGTGGAGGCCGCCTGGCCGGAGCCTGGCCGGGCTCAGGCCTCGCTGGTCACACTCAGCTGCTTAGCTGGGGGCCCTGGGGACCCCCCACACCGCATCTCCACCCACCCCTTGCCCAGGTGTGGGTGGAGGCCTGGTCGCCCTCCCGCCGCCTTGGCACCTGCCTTGCCCACCCTCAGGCTGGCCGGAGCCGGGCTGCCCAAGACGATGCTGGCAGGAGCCCAGCGGAGGCTCTGGGGCTGGAAGACTGAAGGGCCAGGTAGGCCCCAGGAGCCTACCGTGCGCCACAGGTCTCTGTGGGGGCCTGACTGGGTTAGCTTCCCCGCTCCCTGACAGGTGACAGGTGGGGTCCGGGTGAACTACCTGCCTGGGGTTAATGTTTAACCGGCTGACGTCCCAGGCCCACAGATCCACACACTGAACAGCTGCCCCTGGCATAGGGACCCATGCCCACCCCCGGGACTGCCGAAATGTCCTCGTGAGGGGCTGTGGCCTGGAGGCTGCAAGTGTCAGGCTACCAAGGTTAACCGAAGTTGGCCAGCCAACCCCCTCCTTGCCCTCTCCTTGCCCTGTCCTAAGCATGGGATAGCCGCCAGGCTGAGAGAAAGGATCTGCTTGCCCAGAGACGCCCCCCCCCCCCCCGCCTCTGACTTGCTGTGACTGGGTCCAGGTTGGAGATAGTCCTTAACCTTGAAGCAACTGGACTTCAGTACACCACAGGGGGACAGTCAGCAAGGGCCACTGCCCCATCCTCCATTGGCACAATAGGTCTGATTGGCTATGTATAAGCACCACACCACCTTCTGGGCCCCCAATCAGGGGGATGCCAGCATGACTGGGGACTAGTGCTTACCCAGGCCTCCCAAGGCTGGGTCCACCTGGCTCCAGGAAAATCTGATCCCAGGGCTTCTCTGTGCCTTGGGACAAGCCAGAGGCTCAGCAGCAGGCCAGCTACGGCTTTCCAGGTCGGGCCTTTGTTCTAGTCTCTTTCACACTCCCCTGTAGGACAGCATGAATTGAGTTTGGGGGGAAAGTTCTGATATTTGGGGGGGTCTGGTGCTGTTTCCAAGCTAGACCTGGGCTCACCCTCTTGAGCTTTCAGTCTGGCTAGAGGACTTGGCTCACTTTGAGGGTAGTAGCCAGTTTTGGAAGGCTGCATAGCTCTGCCCAGGAGAGGCAGCTGGACAATGAGGGTCAGATTCTGTTTGCAGCCAGGCTTAGGTCTGGAAGTGGACGGACTCTGGGGAGCGGGTGGAGCAGGGGAGTTCCCATAAGTCTTGGAATTGTTTGCTTCCTGGTTCTGAGCCCTGGCTGCAGGGAGGAAGGGCCTCTCCAGAACAATGGCCGGAGCCAGCCCTGAGGGGCAGGCCTGGGCAGTGCTGCTGCCCAGAGGCCAGGCCCAGCAGGCTGTGGCCAGGCTTGCCTTCTTCCTTTGTAGATGCAGCAACCTGTCCTGGAAGCCTAGACTGTGCCCTGAAGAGGCGGGCTAGGTGTCCCACGGGTGCTCATGCCTGTGGACCCTGCCTTCAGCCCTTCCAGGAGGATCTGCAGGGGAACTGTGTGCCCAGGACGCGCCGGCCTCCTGGTATGCAAGAGCACAGGGCAGGGGACACGAGTGGGCAGGATGGCCTCTGTCCCTCCCTGCCTCAACGCCTGCACTGCACTCCTAGGGGACCCCACCCCTGACGATCACTAGATCCCTGTGAGGTGTCCACGTTACTCTGGCAGCAGCTCCTTGGTCCTTTCAAGGTAGCACAGGCCCAGAGCCTAAAGCTGGGCTGAGGCCTTAGGGCAGCAAGGCCTTTTTAAGGTAAGGGTGACCTCAGCAGAGTCCGAGCTTCCAGGCCTGGGCCTCATAGTACTTGCCAAAGCTCCTCCAGGGGTCTCCTTTCCTGCCCACTGGGTGCCCTGCTCACCCCTGCTCTCAGCTTGTTCACTCCATCACGGATGTTTGTGGGTAACATGCCAGTGCTGATGGCCACCAACCTGAAGTCCATAGCCATGGCCACTTGCGGGACACCTTCAGGCATGATGGGGCCTTGCAGAGAGGTACAGGGGGTATGGCTTGTGGGGGCACTGAGAGGCAGCAAACAGTTGCTGTAGCCTTTTGCCTGTGCTTCGTTGCGGGTTGTGGATGGGTACCTACCTCGGAGCTTCTGTCTGGACTCTGAGGTCCACAGTAGGAATGAGGGGGGCAGCCAGCCGTCCACCCCCATGCTTTGCCCTCCTCTGGAGTCCAGCCTGGAAGTTGGGCTTACTTTGGCTTCTCTTCACTGCCCCTGTTGGCTAGAGAAGGTACTTGGGGGGTGAGATGGGAAATGCTGTCCAGTGCTTTACCCATCTCTATGGATCATGCCAGGATAAGGGACTCCACATTCTCTTCTCCTGCCTGGTCTTTCTGCACAGTCCCCTCGTACCTCCTCCCTGGCCTCCCTGCCCACTTTTCCTGGAAGCCCCTCTGTCATTGCTATGGCAACCTGGGAGGGATTAAGGACCTTCCTGCCAGGCCCAGGAAGAGAGGCCTAGACCAGGATGGTTCCCTCTGTCTCAGGAGGAGATGGGGATTCACCTGATGACCTTCTCCCTCCCCAGGGGAGGACCTGCCCCAGCCCAGACTGGAAGATGAGATTGACTTCTTGGCACAGGAGCTAGCCCTCAAGGAAGCCAGGCACTCGAGGCTCACAGCTGGGCCCCTGCCTGAGGTCCAGCAGCGGCTCCTGGAGCCTGGTGAGACCCTTGCCCTGGCCTCTGCCACTGTGGACAGCAGCCTGCCCTACTGATGTAATCTACCTGTTCTCCCAGCAGCTACCCTGGGCTTCTCCGAGAGGGGTCCGGGAGCCCAGCCCAGCCTCCCTGTCACTCGTGGAGCCTCTCTACCCACGCCCCGCGCCTCCTTGGGTTCCCCGGTATCGTCTGGGCCTGTGCACATGGCTCCCTTGGAGACTGGTGGGGGGCGCGGAAGCGGCCTGGCCCTGGGTAGGTCGGGGCCTCTGGCAGCGGGCGGGGGTGAGGCAGCGGTGGGGGGACGGTCGGGGGTCGCAGGGCCTCACAGCGAGCTTGTCCCTCCCCGCACATCTCCTGCAGTGCTGATGGTGGCGTTCTGCGTGGCCGGCGCGGCCGCCTTCGCGGTGGCGGCCCTGTGCTGGTGCAGGTGAGCAGCAGGCGGGCAGGGCCGGGCCGGCCCAGCATGCACCAGGGCCAGTCCATGACCTCAGCTCCACCTCCTGCAGGCTGCAGCGAGAGATCCGCCTGACTCAGAAGGCAGACTACTCCACTGCCAAGACACCTGGCTCACCTGTAGCGCCCGGGATCTCGGTGAGCGGTCGCTGGCCCCGCCCACGGCCCCGCCCC